AGGGCTGTACAATGGAGGCATAACTCCCAACATAAAACTTCACTTACCCAAAACATTCCTCGTGAAGTAGTAGAGCTAGATATGTCAACCAATCAAGTTGAGTGAGAAGGCCTCCAACATGGTCGACAACATTAAATTAGGGAAGAGTTTAGTATTGCAGTACATGCCATGCAACACTTCCACTGTAGTAGCATGGCATGTATTGCATCCCTTCCCAAAAGATGTCAGAGTTGCCATAACATATGTACATGTATCCCTCCCAAATGCCAATGGGAGGTGAAACTACTATGTTTAACACTTAGGGAGAATCTTCATTGCTTTTTTTCCCCCTTACAAGATGCTTTTTTTAGTTCATCTTATAATTAAACTCCATAGATGTTGCTTTCAATGCACGAGCACAGTTATGTATCATCACCTAGAATTTCTATCACACCCAACTTGTATTATGATTCCATGAACACACATTCCACTCTTGCTTCATCGATGCAAAATGTTGATGATACTTCTATGTGGTTACTAAGATTTGGTATTCATATCATTGATTTAAATGTTGATTTTAGTAATGTTTTTTAGAATGAAGGTAACGAAGAAGCACAAGGTGGTGCAAAAAATGTAGCCATGAAAGAGGAATTCATACGAAATTACGAGGACACTAGGAGTGGCAAAACAAGTCAGTTCGTCTCAGCTCGCTAGAAGCTCGCCTAAAAATGAGCTAGCCTGAGCTCGTCCCATTTAGAAAATGGCCTAGATTTTCTAGCTCGACTAGTTTAAGAGTAGGTTGATGAGCTAATAGGCTAGCCCAGCAAAAACTAAAAAATTGAAAAAAAAAATAGTTGGTGGGTCATTAGATTCTTGGGCTAGCCCACCAAAAATTAACAAAAAATTACAATAATTATTTTTATATTAATAAAAGTTAATATTTAATTAATACATAATTATTATTTAAAAAAATAGGTTCGACAAGATAGCCTGCCCCAACTCACCATTGGCTCTTATTTTAACGGGTTGAAACGAGGCAGGGGTGGGACAGTGGATTCAAAACATTCACCTTGACTTATCAATGTTGGTGGGTTAAATGGGTTGTCCCATCGAGTTAAGCTCAATTTGACAACTCTAGAGGACATACACACAAATATACTAACTCCTGATGTCCACCATGGCAATTAGCCCGTATCTTTTCTTATCAGTTGTGAAGTTAATGTAATATTTATTATGTATTGTTGTATTTTGATTTATTTACAAATTGTTATTTGATATGTCAAACTTTTATTTTTCATGACATTTACCGTTGTTTTATTCCATTAATGTAACCTTGTTGCGTATGCTTTAGTTAGAATTTTAAATTAAGGATGCAAGAAATTTATCTTATCATATAAAATTATTACTTTCACACATAAATACAAATTAAAAAAATAATTAAATTAGTAAATTTAACCATGAATTTGAATATGTTGAGATTGGTCAATAATTAAATTAATAAATTTAACCATGAATTTGAATATGTTGAGATTGGTCTTAAAGTCAACAAGGACAATGTGGTTATGGTCTCCTTCTTTACAAATGTGACATGTTTGTCATGATTGTAATTTAAGTGAGTCCATTTCATTTCTTATTTGAGTTGACTCTGGTAAACCTCTCTCACGTAATTTATCTTTGTTTTGAAAATGTTTCTACCCTACTATTTTTGCAATTTGAGACTCATTGCTGATAGGCTATATAGTACTGATTATGTATTAATAATATTATCCAATGAATAGATATAGTCAACAAATTGATAAAAGTCAATGCTAACAACAATACATGTACTAATCACACGAGAGTAAAGGTATTTGAAAATATAGTTGAAATTTGCAACATTCACAATATCAATTAGACAAAATCACAACCAATTTCTAACCTTCACTTTGTGTCATTAAACGTTTCCTCCACTTCAAATATTGTTGACTGTGTGAAATCAATACTAACATTCACAATATCTATGAACTTGATGTGAAGTCACAATCTCTTAATTTTTTTTTATAATATAATACATTAACTTTGAACAATACATGTGCCCTTCACTCATTTGAACTTTTGCTTAATTTCCTTTGACAATTTAGTAGTCATTTGTGTTATACTCCACTTATTTTTTGAAATGCTATTAATCTATGTAATAAAATAATTATAATCATACAAATTATTTAAGGAGATAACTTCAATATTTGTTATCCTCACATCCTAAAATTTTCAAATTCATCATTACAACTATTGAAAATAAGATTAGTTGATATGAGTTTTAGAATGCATTGTTTAAATAAGCTATAAAAGATATAGGGAAAAGTAGTTAAGGAGAAGTGCAAAGCCCCCTTTTGTTTCTTCCTTTTCTTATCGGTGTAATAGCCCTTTTCCCTTTGTTTCATTTTTTTTTCTTTGGTGTGACACCCTTCTTGGCAATTCTCCCAACATCTCTCTCCCATTTTCTTATTTTTTTAACGCAAGTATTTATTTTATTGGTTCTATTTATCTTTTTAAAATTTTGAAAATATTCTTAGTAACTTGATTATTTCTTTGACATAAATAACTTTAGGTGAATTTTTGGAGTAAATGATGATGCTCTAAAGTGAAAAGACAACCTATTACAAGAAAAAAATTTATTTAAATTTCTAAAATATGCTTACAACTCAAATACATAAGAAATTAATTCTTGGTAAGTTCTCATTTTCAGGGAATGTCTATTTTAAAGCTCTATGTATAATCAACATTTTATTATTGACTTAATTTTGAACCCATGTTAAATATTATTGTTGGTATTCAAAGTTGTTGGCTAATACTTTTCTCATAATTATGTAGTAGTCTTGAGAAAGAGCTAATTAGTTCTTCTTATTTCATGTATTATTGTCTAAAAAAATATTTTCTTAAAAAAATAAGTTTTAAATTATTTTTTGATCATATGAAATCTTATTGAAATATGTATGTTGTTAAATTATGAGTTTATTTGTAAAGTGTGAAGAAGTAATTATTTTAATTCTATTTGATGATATTTAATTATGAAATGTATGTATTGAGAATTTTATGATTGAAAATAAATTTGATTTGTGTACAAGAACAATTTATATAATGTAAATATTTTTGAGAAAAGTTATACTCTAAGAGGAGGGTGCTATTCGCTAGATGAAGCTATTAATGCATGGAGAAGACTATCAACTAGAAGTTTAATTATGAATGATGTATGCAAAGAGAGAGTTACATGTAAGATGAAGCTACCTCTAAATGAAAGATTGCCCTTAAGAGGAGAGAGTTATCAACGAGGTAGAATTGTTTTAGACTTTGATTCTTTTATGAGTATCCTTATAGTATTACTTATACATTTGCTTTTATGATGTTTTAGAAAATTATTATTATTTAATTTTATGTAGATATGTATTTTGTTATAATAATTGAAATTAAAATTATAATTTTATTAAATGAGGTAAATTGGTAAAATTTTGATTCATAACTAAACTTTTAAAAAAATAATTAGAATAAGTTCATTTTCATAAACGACATGTTATAATTAAGTTTTATGATTATGATCTACTTATGTATTATTTAATTTTTTTTATTCATTGTAGTTATTATATATTTATTGAATTTATGTGACTGAGCCTTATTTATTAATTATTTTCATATTATTAGATAGAAATTGCAGACTATTAGAAACATCAATTCATCTTAGTAAAAGTCTCTTTTAATTTAGTGGCCTTATTTTTTTCTATTTTTTTTAATATTTTAGACTTTTTAAGACTGTTAAGAAATAAAATTTTAAAAATAGTTATAGAATAGATATTTTAATAGTTATTTTATAAAAATATTAAATTTTATTAGTTATGATTGAATTATAAATTAATTTTGCTAAGATAGATGATATAAACACTAGACAAATTATGTCAAATTTTTGAAAAAAATTATATTCTTATTTAAAAATTATTATTTAATATATTTATTTCTAAATAATTTTATGAGATTAAAAGATGTATTTAATTATTCATGTAACGAATTATCTTTATCCGAAAAAAAATGTCAATAAAATGATAAAGACAAAAGAAGTGGTTCAAAGTGCATTATAATGTCGTCACATTGGAGCAACGTGCCACCAATGTGCACGTGGTGGGAAGCAGGTTCTGCAGTCTCTCCCAAAGTGACACGTCAGACGAGAAAAATGCCTTTCTAGATTTCAGCACGACATGCATAGCATATATGATCACATACTCTATATCTGCGGTACTAGCTACCTCAGAATCTCCCTATCAAATCCAAAAACAAAGAAATAGCTTCAGCAGAAATAAAAAAAAAAAAAAAACTAAAATAAACTAGTACATTTAAAAATTATTTTTACACTTTTAAACAACTCAAATTTAAAATTAGAAATTTTTACTTAAAAAGAAATTTCATAATATCAATATATATATATATATATATATATATATTATTTATAGAAGTTAAAATTTAAAGCAGAGATAAAAAAATATAAAATTTAAATTGAAAAAAATGGGAGAAGAGAAGAATTTTAAATTTATTTATAGAAGTTAAAATTTATATCATTTTTATTTTTTATTTAATCAAATAAATCAAATTATCTCATTTTTTTTTCTAGTTTCTTTTCTTTTTATCCAAATGAAACACGTGAGAAATTTATGTTGCGTAAATATAACCTTAAGTAATTAATTAAATAAATACATACTACTTCCTACATAATTAAATTATAGAAGAATAATTTTTTTCATTTTATATTTTTAAAATATTTTATATATCATATTACTTATTTTAAACTATTTTATTATAAAATTTGTGCGGAGATTATGCAATGAAAATATCATTTAATTTAAAAGTTTGAGTACGAGATAATAATGACTGGTATAATATAGATGCGATGCACAATTTTATGTTTTTCTATCACGTAAGATATAATTGATTATTTTAGATAAAAGGGAGAGTTTTAAAAGGAAAAGATAAAGACTAATAACAATGTAGGATCCGAAAACAACGGACCTGGGAGGGTGTGAGCTCTGAAATCCATTTTTTCTCTCTCTCTCTCTCTCCTCTCTCTATTTTGGAAGTGATTTTGTTTTGTTTTGTTTTTTGTTATTGTGTTGTGTTCTTCTTGTTGATTCCTTCTGACTCCGAGGCAGGGGAAGGAACAATAACAGAGGAATCTGAGTTCCTCTTCGGAACCAGGATTCCTCGTTCATGCTTATTCGTGCACTTCTTCCCCTCCCTGTAAGAAAGGTTCTTCTCTCTGTGTGTCTTTTGTCATTTTTTTTCATGAGCATTACCCTTTTCTCTCTTTTGCAATTTTATTCGTTATTTCCTGTTCCATTTTATTTGTGCTGTTCAATTCCTTCGTGCATGAGGTTTATTACATCGCATGCCTTCCCAATGGAATGTTTCTGTTCTTTTTACCCATCCTTCAAAGTCTCTTACAGAATAAGAGTCGAGGCTAAAGATATTTTATGAATATTTAGCTCTCTTAACCTATCGAAACCTCTTTTAAGCACAAAATTGTGAGGTGCACGAGACTTGGGCGGAACAATTTCTGGGTTATGTTAATTCCTTGCATTTTCGCAGAACTAACTCACATTGTTTGTTTTATGTTATCCCTTAAACGGTGCAGAGTGTTGAGTAGGCTTTTGTGTTCTGCAATGAATCAACTTCGCCGTTTTTCTTCCTATAGTTTGAGTACATGTTTGATTCATTTTTTCAAACTTCTGCAAGTCAATACAGAAACAAAGAAGATAGGGATGCTTTGTTTTCTAAATCTGTTTTTTTTTTTAATTGTAAATATATGATATATTTTTTATTTTTCCTTGTTTTAAAAAATATTTATATAGAAGTGATTTTTTATTATTTTTACTGTTTTTTATAAATAATTCAAAATATAAATAAAATAAAAATGATATTTTTATAATAAAAAACTTTTCTAAAATCAAGCTGTCCCTAACTCTTTTATTTTTTTCTTTTTGTTCTTTTGTTTCTTTCCGGATAAACACATTTATATATCTTTTCATCAATAATATTATATACACAATTAGTTTGGTCTAATTGTTGGTTGCTGTTACCTTACTCTGAATTTGTATATTAATTTGTCAAACTCTCATCATTGTTTTCTTTTTCTCTCCCCTTGAAGCACTTAATAGTGGATAATATGTTGTCAATTCTCTCTTTTGCCTTCTTCAGGTTCTATCCAAAGAAGGGGACTATGGAATCGCCTCCATGCGATATCTAATACTGGCACTGTTGAACTAAGGACTCATAATGTTCAGCTGTGGAATGCAATTTTTTTTGAGTTGAAGGTGTGTGCGCTACTGCTGAAGATTAATTAAGTGACTTAAAGTGATGTTCTCATTAAAGTTGATTCTATCTTGTCTCATAATGTATATGCTTATCTGTATCTATCAGCAGGTGGTTGAAAAGCAATTGATTTTGATGAAAAGTTTCTCTTTCACTAAAAGATATAAAATGTAAAAAAGAATCTGAATTGAGGCTAATAATTTTAAGGGTCTTGTTGTCTTGTGTGGCAGGGTGGTTCTTTCTTCTCAAAGAGATTATAGCCGACTCTAGTGTGTTTTAACTTTGGCCAATTTCAACAGATTTTTAAAAGTGAAAACCGGTGAATGTAGCTTATAAATCGATTTTTACGGTTTTGATTATTTTTTTTAACTCTTCGAGAATAAAATTTTATTGAAACCAGTAAGACTTTGGTGAGTGGGCACAATTGTTGAAAATTCAATGTTGGGTGGATTGGTAAAAAAAATAGTTTACGCAATGGGAGGGTGTGCCTCAAAACCAAACGGGAAGAGAAATGTTCGTAAAAGAGAGAACAAAAAATCCAGAAAACGGAAGGGAAAGGGAAGTGTTTCGACTTCAATTCCTGAGATGCATTTGAAAAGGCTTAGCAATGCTGGAAGTCTTGTGGGAGACTTTTCCCTAGGTGACTTCATTCACTTGGAGTTTGAGAAGGGTGCTTCTGCCACGCGCCGAAAATCCGAGGTTTCTAACGTGAAGTTTCATCTCACCCAGCTCCAATACCACAGTCATAGTCAGATTGATGCAAATGGTATCTTTTCTCTCTCCCTCTCTCCTTGGAATTAAAACAATTATTGAGTAACTTGCAGCCACCTTTTTGGTGCTTTTGACGCCATTTGCTTTCAGAAAAAAAAATATTTTTAATTTTTTCTGTCTTTATCTTGAATTATAAAAATGTTATTTTAAAAAATTTATATAGTTGACACTACAGTGAGAATAATAGTTCTATTTGAATACTTGTATAAGAAATAGTAAAAAAATAGTTATTTTATTTATTTCTTGTACAAATCTTTAAAAATAAAAATAAAGTGGTATTTTTTAATTAAAATAAAAATCGAAAAAATTTTCTCTAATCAAACAACCCCCTTATTTGTAATTGTATTGATATTGGCGTTACTGTTGATGAAGGTTTTGATGATGGTTCTCATGGTGTTGGTTTTCATATTGTTGACATAGACACTTGTGATAAACGTGATAGGCAATTATATTTTGCAGGAAAAAGCCATGAGGATGCCTGGTTTGACTCAGCTAGCATTATAGAGTCTGATTCAGATGATGACTTCATTAGTTTACCTGGAGGTAATATGTTTATAACTTGTTCCTACCTTATCACTATTTTAAAATTGTATATTTGTTATGTTCACACAATCTCTCTGTTTCTTCCTTTATGTCTGACATATTGCTTTCCCTTTGTGGGTAATGCTTTAGGAAGTGTCCCAAATAGTCAGTTACTCCAGTATGAAAGTGCATCATGCTTTGTAGATTCAGGGTGTAGATATGAGGGGTTTTATGAAAGCTACATGAAAGTAGATGGAGGTAACTATAAGAGTGGAGAGGTTACTTTTATTGACACGAACCATTCTCCATCGAGTCCTCAACAATCACAAAGAAAGCAACCGGGGGTTTTTATGCTTTCAGTAAAAAGAAAATCAATTGATGGAAACGAGAAGACTGAATTAGGTAAGTGCAAAAATGAATTAATATTTTCCTTTGTTTCTAGTAAACTTTTGGTGGTTGGTTGAAATATTTCACTACATAGATCATTTCCTTGTCCAACTATGATAATGTAATGCGTATTAATATAAGTCTATTTTATTTGCCTGTTGCCTCATTCTTTATATATTTTTCTTGATTTTGAGTTATTTTTCTATGCAATTATTTAAATCGGTCAAAGTGCTAAAACATTAAAAATTCGTGTTATATATATATATATATGCACATAAATATATGTAGACTTTGAGGAATTTGAATACTAAATGAGTGGATGGGCAGGTGCATCTGAAAGGTTTCTTTATCGTCCTAAAGCTGGGCATCAGATTCTAAGTACAACTCAAGAGAAGCCATGCCCTGGTTCTTGGTCTACAGTTTCACCTTCAGTGTTCAACCTCCGTGGAGAGAGTTTCTTCAGGCATGTCAGCAAATTGTTTATGTTAATCCTTGTTATGTTATACAATCCATTATTTATCATCTGATTTCCTTTTATTTTATCTGACAGTTTGATATTATGATAATAATTAATTGTGCAGAGATAAGAAAAAGTGTCCTGCTCCAGATTATAGCCCATATGTACCAATAGGCGTTGATTTATTTGTCTGTCCCCGGAAGGTAAATCACATTGCTCGGCATCTTGAACTTCCACTAGTCAAAGAACATGAGAAATTACCTTCCCTCCTTATTGTAAATATACAGGTTCACTCTCCATCTCAAACTATATATTTGCTCCTTCAGTACTGACAACTTCACCTATACTATAACGAGGTTTATGGATTTTGTATCTCAGTTTGAACAACATAAGAGAATGTAACATGCGTTAATTATGTTACTTTTGTCTCAGTTACCAACTTATCCTGCTAGCATATTCCTTGGTGATGCTGATGGAGAAGGCATGAGTCTTGTATTATATTTTAAATTGTCTGAGAATTTTGACAAAGATATCAGTCCACAATTTCTGCAGAGCATCAAGGTATTTCTTCTCATCAATCACATTATTTGAATCTCAAATCAGTAAGTTTACAATAATTTTCCCCTGCAAGGAACTTGTAAGTAACAAAATGCTTTATAGCTGTTAGCTTTCTCTTTTGCTCACTAAAGGCAATAGAATTTGAATATTTGATTGAATTATGTTACGTCAAATAATCGTTGCCTTCTCAAGCAATTAAGAGGACCATCAGGCCTTGCAGGCTAGCACTCATGAACTAGGTTCTTAATGTGATGCTCATTCATTTTCTTTTGTTGGTAAAGATTTTCCATACTGTCTTGCTGCAGTAGCTCCTACATGGCTATCTTTTTTTTAGTTGAACAGTATTGTTTTCACAGAGATTAGTGGATGATGAAATGGAAAAGGTGCAAGGCTATACAAAGGAAAGCTCGGTTCCCTTTAGAGAAAGGCTAAAAATTTTGGCTGGGTTGGTTAATCCAGAGGACCTTCAGCTAAATTCTGCAGAGAGAAAGCTTATACATTCCTATAATGGCAAGCCAGTACTTTCACGCCCTCAACACAACTTCTTTAAGGTATATACATCTCTTGGTTCAAAATATCTGTCTTCAAATATCAATCCTTAGCTTATTCTTCCTATGGAGTTAGTTCATTATGCATTGATATACAACTTCAGTTATTATTTTGAAATGTTTTGATCTAATGACAGAACGTTTTAGAGTTTGGGTATCTCCATCAACATTATTGGATTATTTCACACCCATCAACAGCGTCTGTTAAATTCTAGTAGTGGTTAGAAACTCTTAAAATTAGTAACGCATACACACATCATACAAACTCCATTATGTCTTTTCTTTCACTTTATAAATGCTCATATAAATATATAATCATATTTCAAGCTCTCAGCAATTAGATTAACTACATTGACTGATTAACTTGCAACTTAATTTTGTTTCTCTCTAATACGGTAAATTATAGTTTTAGTAATACAAGTTTTTAGGCTCTTGACATGATTTTGGGCATTAAGAAAGGGATGTGCATTGTTCTGTTTTCAAATTTTCAAATGAACTTGGAAGTGGCATCATCTATGTTGACAAAGGCATTTTTACTTGGGGAAAAATGATCTTACTGAAGTTCTATTGTTTAGCCATTAAGCTCACCTTACGGTACAAAATAACTCTTCATACCCTTGTATATGTGTTGTTCATTTATGTATTTTCATTTCAGGGACCTAACTATTTTGAGATTGACTTGGATATACATCGCTTTAGCTATATATCGAGGAAGGCACTTGATTCACTAAGAGACCGAACAAATAATGTAATTCTTAATGTGGGCTTAACCATTCAGGTAGAGTATGATCTTGCAACATTAAATTTGAATACTTTAGTTACTCTCTCTTAGTTGAATTCATGCAGATATTGTCACTCCCTTTAATATAAACCACCTAATTCCCTTGCAAAACTAGGGTGTTCTTCAGTCAACATTCTTTATATTCCTCAAGAAGCAGGAGGACTAAAGAATAAAATTTATTGTCGTCTTTATTCAACATTATGTTACCCAGCCATATTTTAATACCTTCTTTTATATGCTTTCATTACAGGCACAGAAGCAAGAGGAACTGCCAGAGCAAGTCTTGTGCTGCTTACGGTTGAATAAAATTGATTTTGTTAACCGTGGTCAAATTCCTACCATTGTAGCTCTTGATGATGATAATTGATTCATGTAGGCATCAGGTGTAAAATATATGAGGGGAAAGAGAATACGAGACTGAGGGTTATTTTGTAAGAATTGGTGCCAAATCTTTCAATTTAACAAAGGAGGAAAAAGGAGAGAAGCAATTTTTAAGTAATTAGTGTTTTTTCTTACATGCAAGATCGATTTTTATTTTTAGTGTTGTACTAAAGTCCTGAATGTGTTCTTCGGATTTACCATTCTCTTGCTCCTTTGGTATATGTAGATTCTAAGGTCATGTTTCTGGACATGGTCAAATGGGAACTTGGACTTCAATTTGACGTTAGCCAAGGAGGAGTTGCTGAATAGAATGCTTTAATTTCGGAAAATTTAAAGTTGTTTTCTTTTACTTTCACTCTTTAGCGTGACCACAAGAAAAAGCAGCAAAGCCCGCATGACAAAGGAATTGTAGCTGCCTCATAGTCTTGTTAAGAGAAGAATAAGCTGTTGAACAAAAAAAAAAAAAAGAGGAAAAGAAAAAGATAATGATATGAGGTGCTTTTTTTTTTTTTTTTTTTTTTTTTTTCTAAGAGGAGTAATGCTATTTTGACAACCGGTTTAGGTCTCTCTACACTGTACAAATTAAAAAGCAGTAGTTATGCTATAATTGTATAGGGTGTCTAGTATATTGTGTTAAAATAATATTATTCTTTGGAATAAAATGACTAAAAATACAAATATAAAAAAAATCAACAAAATATGATAAGTTTATATCACAAGTTTATCTTATCAATTTTGTGTGTGTAAGTCTTATACTGTGAAAGATCTAAGTTAAAAATACACAAAAATAAAAATAAAAATGATATAGTGTATTTAGTTTATTATTTTAATTAAATTAAATATAGAATAAGATAACATTCTATTGTACTCTTATTCTATCATGTTCTTATTCAATTATTTTATTCTATCTTGTTCATTTTAAATAAGATATTTATATGATGTATAAATATGATTAGAAATTTGCCTTAATTAAGAATAATTTTTCTGATTATTATTTTAATCATCATTGGCTTAGTTGCTTGAATCTCATTTAAGAAATCAAATATTTTAAAAAAGTTATATAATTTTATTTTTAGAGATAAGTGATTTGGAAGATGACATTATACCTTATTGCAAAAATTTTATTGAATTTAATAGTGTTAATGTTTTTATAGGGATTAAATATATAACATTTAAAAACAGTTAACGACTAAATACGAACAAATTTTTTTAAAGACATATAATAAAGAGTGCTATTTTTTATGAAAATTAAAAATATAATTAAGCTTAATTTTCAATATATCTGGGTAACATATTTTCAAACAGTCTATTTATTTTTTTAATTCACCTAAGGTATTTAATTGCTAGTAAGAACTTAATTGAAGGTTAGAGCTATTATTTGTTCAAAAACAGGTGTATATATAAATTTAGCATTCAGTTAAAAAGAAAGGAAACATTTAAATAGAAAGAATTTATTTTACATCAAAATGAAACTCGTGATTATAATACAAATGTGTGTTTTTTTCTTTAATTAAAAAATAAAATAAAAGAGGAATAGGAAAAACTTTTTTTTTTTTTTTTGGTTATTCAAAGGAGGAATAAGGAAAAGCTTTAGAGCTATTCATGAGATCCTCAATTATTTCGGTATCTAAAACCATATAATGCATGTTGTTATCTATTGATTTACTAAATAGATCTCACTTTTTGAAAATATTATGTATAATTAATTTTATCCCATGTTATAAAATAACATCTTAAATATAAATAACAACTCAATATTAAAAGTTTTTAATTAAAATCACTCTCAGAATACAATAAAAATTACGGTGAGATTGAATTTGTGTTTTTTTTTATTAAATTTTTTATTTTAAATTCTTTAACTAAGTATTTTAAAACATTTATTGGCATGCTTTTAAAAATTAAAACAAGAACAATATATTTCTTAAAACAAGAGAAATACATGCTATTCAATCATATTTTTATTTAACTTTCGTATCAGTTTTGATTACTTTCCTTGTTTAGTTATGTTTGGGTAAAGAAAATATTTAGTTGTGGCAAAGAAAGCTTAAAATAGAATTTATCGAGAAAATTATAATGTTAGTCTCTATCATTTTAAGAAGTCACTAAAATAGTTCTTAAGTTTTTTTTTTTTTAAATAATTACATTAGTCCCTAACATATACAATAGTTAGTCACGTTGCTCTTTGGAACAACCAATTATTAGTTGGACAAAAACCAAAAAACTGAGATGGCATAGTAAGTACTAAGTAAACTTGTACAATTGACTTTGACATTGAATGATGTGGAGGAATTGTTTCTACAGTTCATTAATTTAGTCCTTATAATCTTAAATTCAAAAAAATCTTGTCATTTTAATTTGTATCATTTTTATTTCCTTCCTCAAACCTTTTTCCTCCTTGTTATTAGTTCTCTTCTGGTTACCACTATTGAGGAGTGTAGAAAGGGACGCAAGAGGTTGTTATAAGAAAAATCAAGTGTAACTAGGGTTTTGATTTGGAAGAAGAACATGAGTATGATATTGGAGATGTTTGTGTTAGTGATATTGACATAGAGATAATGAAGGTTGGAGAGTTTAGTCATAGTTGAAGGGATGATGCTAACTAGATTTTGAGGATGTAGGAGATGAAAAAGGAAGTCAAAATATGAATGGTTATCGATTGAGGAGGAATGGGATAAGGTTTGGGAATGGTAAGGTTTGAAAGATTGAAATTGTTAACATAGGTTTTGTTGTCGGTGAATAGATGGGATGATGGAGGAGTCGCGGAAATTGAGAAGGTGCACTTATTCATATATTGTGATGATGACTTCTATGTGTTTTAAGGAATGGTTTTAATAGGAGCTTTGAAGATGGTTGAAAGTGCTTCAAAAGGAGGTATCTTATTGGAAAGAATGAAATAATATTACTCTGTGGAGAAAGAAGGTTGGAGGAAGAGAATGAAAATAATAAAAGATAAAAATAACATGATTTTTGAATTTAGAATTTTAAGTACTAGATTAATAAATTTTATAAGTTGTTTCTCTACATCTCCCAGTATCAAAGCCACATGTACAAATTCACATGGTACTTAACATTTCATATTAATATTTTTGTTAGTCTGATTAATAGACGTTAATTATCATAAAAACTAATTGAATATGTTACATATTAATATGATCATTTTCTTTTTAATTTACTTCTTGAAACAGATTAATATGATGATTTTTTCAAGATTTATTATACGATAAAATATTGTCACATTCTCGATCACAATATCAAAAGTAATAAATCACTTCAAGAAACAACAAACAACATAACTTCCATATTTTCAATGTACACATAATTAAGATGCAATTAGTACACCATCATCCAAAACCGTTGTTCACGCTGCCAAGTTCTTCAAATTATTTTTTTTTCTCCTTATATTTCATCGTGATCGAATTGGGGTGGAAGAGAAGAATTTAGAACTATTCTACTCTTTGTATGTGGGAATTGGACTAATATAGGCCTTGGTAAAAACTTTGGCCTCATACTCGAATGAATGCATTGAACGTTGAAGTAAAGATGACTCGTGAGTTGGGATTTGTGACTCATGCTTTCCAAAGGAGGGCAAATTCTTTAGATTATACTTGTTCTTCCAACCTTAAACTAGGAAAACTATTTTATCTTCTCTTCCTTCAACCTTAAACTTGCGACAGAGTGCTGCTCATTGCCCCCAACACCTCTGCTGTTGAAACCATGCTTCTCGGGTATGGCATTTTGTGCGTCTGGTTGTGAGGCCATAGCGTGGCTATTCGTCTTCGCTGGTGGCACATCATGATTATGTTTTCCTTCATATGTTGTTATCACAGCTTTAGGATCCATTGAGGCCCTCTCAACATGCTTCCGAACATTGCAACCTTGGGTTGTGCATTTGTAATAGCTCCTGCATGTATGATTAAAATATGCATATCAGATTTTCCAAGACATGGCAAAATACTGGGGAAATACAGGAACAGTAGAGTATAATATATATATATATACGGGAAAAAATCTTCTCTTACACTTACCTAATCTGAGACTTTCATTTAACTTAAATCTAATAACCAATGAAGTAATAAATTATAAATCGTTAGATTTAAGTTAAATGAAAAACATATATTAAGTGTAATAATTTTTAAATTTACACCAATACAGAAGATCTTACTCTATATATATAATTTAAGAGACATGAGTTAACAGTTTAAGTACTTGTCGTCTGTTAATAAATAAAATTATATCATATTCACGTTTATAAAAAAAAAAATTGAAGAAACTTCATTTTTTTTAATATTTTACATTAAAATTTAAGCATAATTTTTTAAAAGTTAATAAAAAATAGTTAGATTTTTAATATTATCACGTATGTTCATCTATATTGAAGTGTCAGTTCACGTGTCCAAGCCAATAATAATAATAATTAATTGAACACTTAACAAATAATGTTTGACATGTTGACTAAATATATGATAAGCTATTGTATCAAAAATAAAAAATGTGCTCGACTGATAACACTTCAAACAAGAGAGATATTTGTGCTTCATACATGTGAAGTAGCATGACAGAGTACGATGAATAATAGAGCTTTTTTATGAACCAAATTTATTGAAAGTTTGGAGAATCAAAATGATAATCCATATAACTAAATTAGATGCAATCGAAATGTGCAAGAGATTTAATAAATAATATTTTTATTAAAAATTATAATATTTAATGTTATTAATATGTTAAATTCTATAACTTTTAACAAAATTTATTATATATAAATTATTATTATCCTTGCTTAAATATATATTAAAAAATGGATAAAAATAACACGCTTTAAAAGAGTATACCCATAATCCACTTAGATTAATTTGAGTTGGGTCTAAAAACTAATAAATAAATAAAGGTGCAGGAAGAGCGATACCTTGGGTGTGGGTTGCCTTTGACAACTTTTTGCCCATATTTGCGCCATCTATATCCATCGTCCAAGAGATCCACTTCACTTGTTGTTTGCACAATGATTCTAGGTTCTGTGACAGTTCTATGTACAGAGGCTGTATATGGGACCCTGACTTCTGCATTTCTGCACAATCATAAAACTTCCCACTATCACACAAGGCCAAATGATTATCCCAGCATGAACAGTTTTGCATGAACTAAACCCTTACCTTCTCTTGGGATCAGGTTCATCATTTTTCTCATCTCCTTCAGTTTCATGATCACCTACTTCCTCACTCTCACTTGTTCCTGACGCACGTTCAGCTGTTGCTTGACTAGATTCTATATCAACCTTCGACATTGAATGAGAATTCGTCTCTTCTCTCAACGTATTTGAATTTTCATTTGATGTTAAGGTGTCCTTTGTGAGCTTGTTGGGATGAGGACATTGATGATTGTGTTCTCCTTTATAAATAATTGCAGTTACATGACCCTCAAGAGACCGCTCAACCTTTTTCTTAACAGGACATTTTGGATGTGTGCACTTATAATAACTTCGAGGAAATTCACTACCTTTCACATGTTTTTGCCCATACTTCCTCCAGTTGTAGCCATCATCATTAGGCTTATCAATGTTCACAGAAGATGAGTGCAATTTTTGTTCAGAGTGAGAATAATTAAGGGATTCTTGCATTGAGGGTGGTATATGCTGTTGTGCAGTGCTGGAAGTAGATTTAGGAACCTGTGTGAATGAGGTAGTATGCATTACTGACATAGAGAATGGATGTTCAGCTAGGATTTGCATATTGGAGTGGGCTTCTACAGCCTGAGCTGACACCAGTGATTGTGCCTGCTGCTGTGTCATTCCAAAGTGCCCCTACATTACATGCCTTACATTTCAGATTGTCGGAAGAATAAGGAAATGAATTAATTTAAATTTAAAGCACTAATGTGATCATGACAGAAATCCATGGTGATAGCTGGGTATTCTTTTATCTTATGATTTTTATTCATACTAAACTTCATTAGAAAGTGTATCACATCTATTTTCTTATATAAAGTGTGTTTTGTTTTTTATTATCTAACTTGGTTACATCTTTTCAGTTTATTTCCAACTTAATAAATATTTTATTTAGTCCCTAAATTTTAAAATAATCATCATATTAGTCCTTGTTATTAGCAAACATGAATAATACTTCACAAAATTATTCATGTAACACATCAAATGTCAACTCACAATTAGATGCTATTGGAGGTTAGACAATGGACGTTAATAGAGTTTTATGACAAATAAAGAAAAAGAAGACAATTTTAAGAAGGGAAAGAATCTTTTACACTAGTATAAGTCTAAAAACTCTTACATTTAATTTAAACCTGTTATTTAACTTATATCTAATGATAAGTGAAGTAATAAATTATAAGTCATTAGATATAAGTTCAATAAAAGACTTAAATCGAGTATAAGAATTTTTAAACTTACACTAGTGTAAGAAAATCCTACCTTTTTTAAAAATATAAAAATAAAATAAAAAATTTGAACATAAATTCTAATAATTATCCTTGTATTAGTCATATAATGCCCTTTTAAGTCGCCATGTCACTTAATTTATTGTGTTCAAAATTCTCACGCAAAACAAATAATTTTGTTAGTTTTTGTTAATTTTGGTGTAATGTAGGAAATAGTCTGAAATATATTTGAACAAGTTATGAACTGAAATAGAATTTATTAAGATAGGAAAAAATTGAATTTGTTTTATAAAATTAAGGATTAAAGCAGTTATTTATTCCGAAGTACAATAAAAAATGTAGATCTTTATAATGTGTATCTTAAAAGTCCCGCCTAAAAAATAATAAATATTTTTTTATTAAAAAACTTGTTGATAATATATTAAAAAATGACAACGAAATACATTACTAATATTTTAAATATTATTATAGTAATTTAACTAGTATGCTTACTACATTAACTAGAATTTGTAGAAGTATATAACGGAAGAGGTGCAAGAGTGAGTTAAATAACCAACCATTACTAGTTGTGAACCTTTATCCTAATGAATAAATATCTTTTTTTTTTGTTCTAGTACCAATTAGGTAGGAGGAAGTATTCAGCTCTGCCCTTGGGAAGGAGTCAAGTGAAATGAATTTGAATAACACTGTTCACGTAACACAAACTTCAATTTTAGAACAACTTTTACACACTTTTTTCGCTTTTCAATTCTATGTTACATCATTTACTTTATCTTACTGTAAATATTTCTGCATAAATATAATTTTTCGCTAAATATTGAATGCTCATTCAGCAGCAAATGCAAGGAAATTCAGTCTAATATCAACAGTATATGATCTCCAACCGTGATGAAAATTTCCCCAAAACTGAATGAACGAGGTTTACAGGCACAATTATAACAATTCACAAAGTCATGATTATGAAAACCCACTTCAACATAAAATACAGTACTGAAGTTAGTATATAAATACACATTTAATTATATTTATTGATTTAAAAATAATTTATGAAATATAGAATATATAATTAGGAAAAGTAACATAAAAGAATTGTTATACAAGTCTAATTATTGGGCGTTGTTACTTGTTTGTTAGTACAGAATAGCAAGGTTCATGTTTGTAATACCTGGGGAGGTGAATCGAGGAAACTGGCGGGGCTGAGCCTGGGCATGTGTGAGGGTGTAGTGGGGTCCACCATGGCGCCGGCAAGTAGCTCCGAGAAAGACTTGCACTCATCGTTGTCGCCAAAGAAGCTGGAAAGCAGAGACATGGGACCAGGGCTAAACCCCACGGTGGGCCCACCGTCGAAGATACGTTCGGTGGAAGCGCGTGGCGGGAGAGTGATTCTGGGACGCGCCGCCGTCGAGGGTGGTGCTTGATCTTCCTTTCCATTTCCACCGCTTACCATTCGCTTTGTCTCCAAAGCAAGACCTTTTTGTTATGTGTCTGTTATACTTCCAACGATGATTCTGGTTGGTTAGTTTCGCTTTTGGGTTTCGTGGATCTCAATTCTCAATCTCCCCCAAAAGTCCACGCCCTTATACGGGAAAGAAAGAGCTTCTCTGTCTCCCATTTTCTCTTCTCCTCCACGTATCCACAAAATAATATATATTTTTATTTATTTATTCTTTCTTACATTATTATGATATCATTTTATTTCTTTTCTATAAACTCAACGTGAGAAACATTAATTGGTAATTCAAGTTAAAGTGAAATATAACTCACTCAAATTTTACTTACACGAGATATTTTTCTTAGTGACCACTCTTTTGCAAGTAAACCAAATTTTGTAAGCGATATTAATTTTATAAAAGCTTTTTTTCTATCTTCATCTCCAATTTTGTAGAATAATATAAATATTGTATTTTAACTCTTAAAATTTAGCAATGTGAAATTAAAGTCGAACTTTATTCTTCTATAAGAGACAAAGACAAAAAGCTGTCTAAATTTTGTAGTCATTTTAAAGGTGAAATCATTGTGGATATTTCTTTTAACGAGAAAAATGAGAATAGAATATAAAATAAAAGGGTATAGCGTACCGTAGCAGGGTGATCGAATTGGTGGGTGCTATGACGATATTGACCCCAGAAGAGTTTTGAAATTACGTGGGTTTGGCAGAGGTGCATCAATGGTGTGGGGTGACGTGAGGGATAGTGGGAGGAAGCGAATGGAGCAGTTCCGTTGTGTTGTAATTGTCATGGTGTGGAAAATGAAGACGAAACTCAAGTCAATGAAGTCAGTCACAAAAACCGACAAAACACCTTTTACTCCATGATATTTAGAAGCTTTGCCGCCACATGATCATTTCGGGTTTTGTTTTTTTGTATGGTAAAAAATTAGCATAATTGCTGGAATATGACTTTTTGGATGAATTAGCGGACATGGTTTTTTAATGGCGTTTTTATGTGTTTACAAAGTTATTAAATTTTAAAATTCGCCAAAAATGGTTTTGTGCATCAGAAATTGATTTTTACATTAAAAGATCGCTAGTTGCAAGTTTTATGGGTGAAAATTGTCTTGGATTGGATTTTCAAAAAACCAATCTAAATACATTTAAAATTTAATTATATAGATTGGATTATAAATCAATCTATTTTAATTTTTTTAAAATCGGTTTAAATTTAGTTTTAAAATTTAAATTTAGTTTAAAACCGATTTTAAACCGTTTTTACATATGGTAAAAATATATCATAATTATTTTTTAATTATTATTAAATTATTATATTAAAATATTTAAATAAATAATATAACATTATATATATATATATATATATATATATATTTGTTAAGCATCAACATTTATCAAAGATAAAATATGAATATAAATAGTACTCTAACTCATTACATTAACAATACATGTTAAGAGAGTATTTGTATATATTTTAATTTTTTAATAGTATTTTTTAATTTTATATTTTATTAAAATAATAAATATTTAGATATATTGTACTTTATATTATCTATCTATCACACAAATTAATTATATGAGTTGAATTTTAAACTATTTTATTTTATTTTTTTAATCGATTCAAAAATAGTTTTAAAATTTAAATTTAGTTTAAAATTAGTTTTAAATTTAGTTTTTATTGAAACTAGTTTCAAATTTGGTTTTACGTTGAATTAGTTTTAAATCTAATTTTAAATTTAATTTTTAACGCAAAATTAATTTTTAATATATTTGTGAATTATATTTCTAAGGTAAAACTAATTTATTGTACAAATGTTACATTAAAATAGTTCATTTCAAAAAGATTTTAACAATATTTATTAATATATTATATTTTATAGAAGTATATAAAATATTTATTATTATTTTTAACTTATTTTTAATAAATGGAGTTTATAATAAAAATTTAAATTAAAACCTATAAAAATAAAAATTAATAATATAAATAATAATAAAATTTTTATGTTATAATATTTTAAAAATTAAAAAATAAACATAAATATAAAAATAACAGTAGTAACTAATTTAAAAATATTTGTTATATTTTAATATTTTTAAATATTTTAATTATAAGAATTAAGATTAATAAAAAAATAGTAATAGTAAAATATAGTTACAATAAAATTTTGTAAATTAATATAACGCCAAAATTTAGTAAATAAAAATATAAGGTTGCTTCATACATATGGAAAATGGATTTAGACATTAAACTGGTTATATAAATATAGTTAATAAAAAAACTGGTTTAATATGGATCTAGATTTTTAAAACCAATTTGACATTGGTTATGGATTGGATTTATGAAATTGGATTTTTTTGACCACCCCTACTTTTAATCAATAAAAATTCTCTCTCTTTTTATTTATTTATTAGCTATATAAGTGAGTTGATGGTTATTCTCACCACTAAATAATATGAGTATATTGTAATAGTAATATCTTTATAAATACAATTGAAAGTGTAATATTTAAATGCGAGAGACTAATATATTTATATATTTTATTTAATATGTTATTTTGAGAACTAAAGAGTATGTTTTATTAGTATATTGGAGTTCGTATTCTAAAGATAGTGGAGATAATTATATATACCTAATTTTTGGTAATTCTATGCAATACTATGCAATTTCGATAAGTAAGGACGATAATCTTACACAAATGTTTCAAATTCATCAGCAACAATAATAATCCCTAACTCTTTGAAATTAAGTTATATGTTATTTTTAAAGAAATTAATGTTGCCTTTTATGCGAAAGGTGAGAACAAGGAGTTTGAAACAAAATAGGAATAAAACCATAGTGAAAGTGATGATGTGGATGTTGAAGCAGAATATGAAAGTGCATATGATAATATAGATGATGATGAATTCCATTTTTCAAATCAAGGGGATAGTCAACATATAGTTGGGGCCACCGTTCATGCGTGTTTTAGATCTTAAAGTTATTATGCATGTGACTGAGTTTCTAAAATATGTAAACCTCGGGATATGAAGTTATTTTTGTTGTAAATAACAATGTAGTTGGTTTTCTTTTAATTGTTTTTATTTTCTTGGTTCACGGGTGATTATAGTGCAAATGAAGAGTTATATGTTGAAATGAAATTTAATGATAGAGAAGTTATTATACAGGCAATTTAGAGTTACAATTTATCAAAAGGTGAGGAATATAAAGTGTTTAAGTTAAAACCAAGTACCTTTATTGTAAATGTGTTACCTATGATATAGATTATAGATGGTTTGTTCGAGTTAGTTTGAGAAAGAATAAATTCTATTAAAAAAAATAAGAAAGTAGATGGCTTGCACACTTGCATTAGGACTCAAATTTTGCATGATCATAGAAAGTTAGATACAAACACAATTACATAATATATTAAGTCAATGGTAGAAGTTGACCTTTCTATAAAAATAAAATCAGTGATGTTAAGGTTCAATCTCAATATGGATACATAACAACATATCAAAAAATATGGATGACAAAACAAAATACAATGAAAATGTATTTTGGTAAGTGAGAAGCCTTATTTGAAGTTTTGCCATAGTGATTTAAGGTTCAATCTCAATATGGATACATAACAACATATCAAAAAATATGGATGACAAAATAAAATACAATGAAAATGTATTTTGGTAAGTGAGAAGCCTTATTTGAAGTTTTGCCATAGTAATGTATAACAATGTGTGATGTTATTTGAAGATTAGTTGTTGAATTAGACGCCATAAAGGCCTATTACAATGATGAGTTGGTTCTTAATGTTCAAATATTGTGTTAAGTATTTTGGAGTTTTGGTTTATGCATTAGAATATTTAGACATGACAAATCACTTGTGAAAGTTGATGTGACACATTTATATGAAAAATACAAAGGAGTTCTTTTGGTGACAGTTGCACAGGATGACAATCGAAATATAATGTTGATTGCTTTTGCTATTATTGAGGGTGAGACAACAAATGCTTGACATTTTTTTCCTGATAATTTATGCAAACGTGTCATAACCCAAGATAGTTTTAACATTATTTATAATCGTCACAAGTCAATTAATGTGGTAATAAGGAGATCCGATGGTTAGTGAGAACGTCTTCGAGCATTCTACATGTATTACATCAAGCACCTTGTTGTTTCTATGAGTAATTAACATTTTCTTTATTTTTCTTTTTTAATTTTAGTGTAAATACTATTTTTTTTTAGAAAATAATGCATGAATTGTGTTAAATTTTTATTTCCATGTTATTTGAGAATTGATAATGAATTTAATATTCATTATGCTTGAATATGAGAACGTGGACAAATATATGTAGATTGACTTAATGAAAATCCATGAAAAAAGTGGGTTTAAGCATATGACAATGGATATCAATGGGTCACATGACTACAAATTTAGTTGAGCGCATTAATTTTGTCTTAAAGGGAGCTTGTAATCCCAGTCACGACATTGGTTAGCAACTTACTTTCGATTAGGTGAATTTTGTACAAAAAGGAAAACATGTATATGGATAGAAAAAGGCTTAACACATTTTTCTTTACACGTGTCACGACTTGACTTCAAGCAAACGAGGAGGCTTCTAGAAACATTGTAAGTCAATTTGATAGACAATATGAGGTATTTCATATGCAAGACCTTTCCAACAACTAAGATTATAGAGTTGATATGAGATAAAGGTATTATGATTGTGGTGACATGCAAATCGATAAATATCCGTATCATCATGTCATTGGTGCTTGTTGTAATAAGACAATTGATTAGCATGCTTATGTGAATAATGTCTATAACATCAATGAAATTTGTAAAGTATACAAAAAGGACTTCAGGATAATTGGGAATGAAGCACATTATGGCAATATAGAGGATTGACACTATGCCCTAACCGTGCCTTAAAACACATAATAAAGGCCATCCAAAATCAAGTTGTTTCCATTATGAAATGCATGTGTGATATGAGAAGATCGCCATAGTGTAGTTTTTGCAAAGGTGAGAACCACACATGAATTCAATGTCTAAATATTCTTAAGTCTAGTTTATAGTGTGTTACATTTAGTTGTTTAGTTTTTCTAAATATATGATGTGTTCTATGTTGTTATATATCTGCTACATTTGGTTGTTTAATATTTCTTTATGTATGATGTGTCCTATGTTGTTATGTATTTGCTACATTTGGTT